TGTGCTATCACTACAGGCCCTTGTAAAAAGTCCCCCCCCCCAGCTTCCTTGTAGCCCCTTCAGGTACTGGAAGGTGCTATAAGGTCTTCCCAAAATTACTGAAATGTCACTGCGCTTGCCCAACTGCACACCCCAGGGCTCTGGAGAGCCACAGCTCTCCTCGCTGTTCCCTCTACCACTCCTGCGAGGAGGCATCTCGGAAGGATTCAAAGGCGTGGAGCCTGAAGGAGGAGCTCACTCAAATGCAAGTTAATTGGGAGTGTGGTTCCCTTTGAAACCTGAATAAACTTCTGCCTCAGCAAAAAGAGTGCTACAGGTCTCTTGGTAAGTGGAAGAAACACTACACAGATCTATCCAGCCTTTGAAGCACCTCCCTGCAGAAAGGAGAATGCCTGCAAGCACAAGAGGTTTTTTTGGGAATGTCCTATTCCAAAGAAAAATCTCAGATCTACAATAATGTAGTCAGGCCTGTGTAAGAACATAACTTTTTCTTACCCTTTTTTTTTTTTTTTTGTGACTACTGTTTCTTTATATTAAGTTTTTGCTTCACCTATAGAACTTCTCTGTTTTCTACACCAACATTTCACTGTACCTGTCAGAGCTCTCTGCCCATTAATTAGCTGCTTTTTCACAGCCTGGCCAGACTTTAGGCAGTCACCTGGTTTACCTCTGTGCCTGATGGCAGAATTTGATTACGACTGTCATTCCTGGTTGATGTTTGTCTGTAGATGCCCAGTGACAGTTACTTTCAGTCCTTGGGCACCTGCTCCAGTGCCTCCCACCCCCAACACTGAAAGCTTGCCCTGATATGTAACCTGAATTTTACTTGCATTATCTTCCAGTCCCAGCCCAATGTGTTTGGAGAGCATGTGAAAGCCTTAACATGTTACATTTCTGCACAAGTCTTGTCTTAGCTTCTTTTCTCACTTTTTAGGTTCTCGTAGTGGCCTTTGCTGTGTACGGGCTTCTCTTCACCTGCTCCATGGCTCCTTAAGCGCAGTGCCTGATCTAGACTCAGTCCATGTGAGTGGAGGCTTTATCAGCGCTGTGAAGAGCGGAAGGATTACTTCATGTGTCTTGCAGAGGACACTCGCTTTTTGCTGGCTTGGGCTGCTTTTTTCACATTGTTTATTCCTCTTCAGTTTATGACCCTCCAAAACCCCAGATCTGCCAAACAGATACCTAATCAGCTGATAATTGATTATTTATAGCTAGTAATTTACAGCTGATAATGCCTAAAGGCAGGTGAGAGCTTGTCCATATTGAACTGCACCCAATTTCCATCAATTTGTCAACAACTTTCTTAATTCTAAGCTTAGATGCCAAAGCAGTCACCTCTCCCAGCTCGCGTCACCTGCGCGTTTAATAGGGTTCTCTGTACTTGCAAGCCAGGTTGTTAATGAATGGAAGCCATTAGCCTTCTCGTCCTTCTTATAACTCCAGTCCATATAGTCCCACATTCTGCAGGGTCTTCTCTAGGCCCTTGGGTTGGTTTTTGCTGCTTATCCTGTCTGTGTCCCTCTGTTCTCCAACCCTACGGATCACAGCTCAAAGCTGTCAGCATGAGGTTAGGAAGCTGGTCGTGCTCTGGTGTGGGTAACTTCTCAAAGTACCACTGATGTTCACATGGCTGTATGCACTGGACAAGATGGAATAGAAACACTGGACAAAATGTACACAGTTTCCTCTGTCAACGCTTGGATTTGATTTTCTAGGCAAAGAACAATTTGGGATATCAACAGTGGCCAGTAGGTAGCTGGCTATAGATTATTTATTCCTGCTTTTGCAAAGTTATTAGAGAATTATCAGACTATGGTGTATTACCTTCAATAAATAAAGTAAAACTATTTCTGGGCTAAACTGTGTGCTTGTACGGAGCCATCCATCCTGTGGTTAAATCCGTAGTTCCCTTTTTCAATGCATGCTTGTCTAACTTATCATCTGCCATCATTTCTGAAGTACCTATCACATTTGTACTTGAAAGACAGCAGTTATAAAAGAAACCCACAGGGAGATGACCCAGAGGACATTTGAACAAACGGAGTAGACTCTTCAGAGAACTTTTGAGAGTGCAGGTAACCTCCTGGGATATCTGTTGTAGTTTGGTTTTTTCTTGTTGTGCTTTGTTTCAAGACTGCAAGGGTCCTGCTTTTTAGTCAGCTTTGCCTTACAGAGAAAGGCATCTGGAATCTGCTTCTGACCAGTTGCCTCTGAGATAGTGGGACACGTCAGCTACAAGTAAGAAAATAATTACCTTGTAAAGACTGTTCTCTACGGTTTGGATGTCTACTGTCTTTAAGAAAGGAATATATCCTTTATCTTCTGCATATTAATTTTTACCATAGATAGCCAAAACATAATATAATCAAGGCTTTTGTTTGTCCTGAGAACTTACTATATCCATTTTTGTGAGGAGCGTCATCCTCTCGTAGATCTGTAGTTAACATCTTTACATGAATACACTTGTTTTGATTCTCTTTTTCAGTAGTTTCTCACATGAGTTTCTCACAGACTGCAAGGTGTTCTTAATGCTTTATATCCAGTTACAGATCAGTAAACTGCTGCTCAGACAATGTTAGATCTGTGTCTAATATGTGCATGCTGTTAGACAGCAAAAGTACCTTTGAAAAGCCGAGCTTTAGGATCTTTTTAAAAGTATAGGTTAAAGAATGTTCCCAGGAAGAATCAGAATCCTTATTTTTTGAAGACAAAGTACAAAAGTCTGTAGGTAGCCAAATCCACTTTAGGTAAACCCAAGAGAGACCCAGCTTTTTCAGTTGTGCTAAATGCTGGAGCAGTCCTGACACCAACAAACTGACATTGCTCGTTAGTAGCTGTGCATCCTAAGGAGCTGTAAAACATGAGGCTTTTAAAAGATATTTTTAAAGAATATATTGAAGTGATTGCTTGTTTTAAAAAATAAAAAGGTGAGTTCTTTTAGCAGTGGAAGTAATGAAGCTTCTTTCCCAAAATCTCATAGTTGCACCTGCTGTCTTATTTGAATAAGGCTTTGACTGCAGCTGAGGAAGCACAAGCTGTCCCTTCGTCTCCCTCCTGTGTGAGTGGAATGCACTTCAGTAGGTTATCTTGTCTTTCTCACTGAGGTACCTGGTTCACAAGAACTTCATCTACTTGAAACTGCTTCGTAGCTGCTGGTTTGGGTTGTAGGTGGTCGGTGGGAGACCTGCAATGAAGGTGGTGGGTAATGTTAATAGACAGGTAGGAATGCAAATGTGCTTAAAAGCACGTACATCTGGCAGTTGAGAGTTGCATTCATGCCAGAGTTGTCCTGGGGTTATTGCTGGCATGAAAGTGAGAACCTAGTTTTACTTTTAAATAGAGAAAAACAGTTATTAGTGTATTTAATAGTCTCCTCAGGTAAATGGGCTATACAATGTTTTTAGAAGCAGGGAAGAAAGCCTGCTGCCACTAATTTGTGCAAAAGCATATTGGAAATGTGTGTCATGTTCTAGCGGTTCTTTTAATTAGATTTCTCAGATAAAGCAGTATAGGTGTGGCAGAGGTGGTCAGAGATCAGGTTCCATTGTAAACTTGTGTTCACATAATGCTCGCCAGAGCAACATAATCTTGTGAAGCAGAGGTCTGTACGGTATTCAAGTGAGAAAATCCACAAGAACAGGCTTTTCATGAACGGTAATGCAATAGGACATAGTCTTGGAGGCGCGGTATAGGCATAAATGTACGGTGTGAAAAAACCCAGCACAACAATAATTACCTGATTGATGGTGATTCACACACATTTTAGAAGAACCAAAATGTCTGACCAAAATGCCTTTCAATAACCCAGCATACATAAAAGCAAACCCTGACTCCCCAGGAATAATCCATTAGCAAACTCCAGAGGTTCAATTAGCCTCACGCACATTTTGGCTAACAGAATAGTATATACATACACAATATGAATACAGATAATGAGTGGACTTGGACATTAAGAAACACACTGCATTGTAGATTATGTGTCATTCTAATGAACTCAGCGTTCATACACCATTTTGAAAAATAGGCACTGTATAGCAGAAGTACTCCAGCTGTGATCAATTGGAGTGCTTCCAGTCCCTGGGTTATTTATTGGAGGTTCAGGGAGAACTGATGGGTTAAAGATGCTTTCTCTGCTCATTACCATCTGAAAATATTATGTTTTCCATACAAGCAATTGCTGTAGTGCCCCAGGGAGGTAGTGTGATTGGGCTGGAGGGTGTATTTCTCTTTGGTAAGAACATTTTGGAAAGCTGCTGTTCTATATTTCCATGTTGTTTATATTAGGTTATACATGAATGATTACACACAGATTTTTTTTCCTCCCAGTACTTCATGAAACAATCTGTAGGAAGCATAAGAACATGCTGGGTTTAAGCATTAAAAATAGTCGTTCATTTAAATTAGAAACAAACAAAATAGTTTCTCTTACACCCAGTAATTAACACTGGAGAATTAGCCTTGAGGTGAGCACTCAGACTGTTTCTTTAGTAAGCTTTATTGAAATAGAAACTGGGAAGTAAATTCTAGTAAGTAGCCATTTTTTATATATAGGGGCAGCTAAAATATAGTTATTTCTGTTCTTGGAGAAAATGGGACTCTACTGGAAGCCAGTATACCTGAACCTGACTCACTCCTCTCGGTGAAGAGAGGCTCTAAGTCCGTGACTGCTGCTCTGGCCATCCACATATGACAGTTTGAAACCAGAAGCTTTTTCAAAAAGAGCTTACAAAAGCAAAGGGAGCAAAATGAAATGTGGTTGGTGGTACTTATACTAAATTTAGCTATAACAAGATGCATTTTCCTGCAAGAAAGGGAGAAGAGTCTATCCTATCCCCTGCAAGGTGGCAGTTTCATTCCTTTGATCATGTGGATATATCATTCTCCAAGGTTGGTGTGCTTAACACTTGGGATTGCGTTCACTTTTAGCTATTGGCTTCTGTAAAACGGTGACAAGGCACATGTGCTGATACATGGCTGTTCTCATTTACCATCTAAAGATTATGGCCAGCATGATGAGAGTTTTTCTGATACTCCTTTGGACCATGAGCTTGGTTCAGCCAAATGTACCTCAAGCTGCAGAAGGTAAGGCATTTTCCTTCTACCTGTGTGTAGCTTCAGCACCAGTGGGTGGCCAAGGCCCCTCTACGTGTTGGTCAAATGTGCTATTCTACTCATGAATGCTGAGTTAATGTTCTTCCTGGGACTGTTGTACCTCAGCTCAGTTAAACTGCTCCCAGCCAGTGTCTGAGAACTGTTTTGCTTTGAGAGGGAAGAGCCATGAGGCATGCAGATCTAAACTGTACCCTGCCACTTGCCCCCTGGGCTGGACAGCGGTTCCTTAGCTTAAGGGAACCTGGTCAAGGTGGCTTGTGTTGGGGTTTTCTGAGCCTTCACGAGGCAGTCTTCCTAATGCGAGGTGCATGTTTGAAAATTGAACTAAAGGTGCATCAAAGGCTGAAATCATGGGAGAAGAGAATCGGGATTGATGTCCCTCAGCTGGCTTGGAGATGGCAATTAAGGGAGGCCAGGCTCTGAAGAACTCTAGAAATGGAGGGAACTAGATTGATTATTGCACTGCCTTGCTATTTATATGCTAACATTTTCCCCCAGCATGAGATCTTCCTCATTTCCATATGAGCTCCAGGAATCCCTCTTGCCCTGTCATTTTAAGTTATCATTCCCATCCTTCTATGTTTTCTTCCATTTGTGCTTAATTCCTCTGTTCATCATTTTGTTTGTTCTCTCACATAAAACTTCTTGTGGCTGTCAGCCTTTCTCTTAGAAAGCCCCCTGATATGTTCTTCTGCAAGCTTGTGTGGGTGAGAATTGTTTGTATGGTTGATCACTTGCTCAGCCCCATTTCAGTACAGATGCCTAGTGTCTATGTGGCTATGAGAATCAATTTAATATCCTGAACCTAATTAACAAGCCAAATGTAATGCATTATTGTGATTTTCAAGTTGAAACTGTTGTAAAAATTCATTTTTTAAACTAAGTAAACTCTTGTAAGTAAACTCTTATTTTATGAAGTTCTGGTTGTTATTTAAAGATATTTTTCAAATATTAGAAGCATTTTATAAGAAGCTGTTGAGAGAATATAATACTGAAATTAAATTATTTGCCTGTATTGCTCATTGCTTGCAAACAGCTATTGCCCTAAACAAGTCACTGGATTACTATGCTATGAATATTTTTGTTTTCTGTCTTACAGTTCAGGTTTTCCCACCGGTTAACTTCACCATTACAGTCTCAGCGTTAGCACAGGTACTTTTACACTGGAAACCAAACCCTAATCAAGAACGAAAAAACTACACTATTAGATACGATGTGAAAATCCTAAGCCCTGTGCCTGAAGAGGTAAGATAAAAAATAAGTCCGGTATCCTAGGAAGGTTTAACTCCTCTTGAGTTAAACATATTACACCGAACCAGGGTGCAGTAGGTGTGATAGGTGTCTTGAAAGATTGGCCTGTTGAATCGCTTAGTCTTTTATATCATAAACATACAGATTGAGCACTGGAGAGATTCCGTTCATGCTTGTGGCTACAGCTCTGCTGGGACAAGGGTTAGCTTGGGAATTGGCAGTCTCTGCCACGTTCGTCTTGGCGGGGTGGGGGGGAAGCTGGATACTGTTTTTAAGTGGTATTGCTCCTCGTTCAAGTCAGCTCAATTCACATTAATGCCAGCGTATCATTAAAATGTCAGATCAAGTTTCATCACAGCTGTCTGCTATAGCCAAATTTTTTGAAAGATAAGGGCCCTGCTGTCTTAAATGAGAAACCTTACACACTCCTTGTGTGGATTATTTGTACTCTAGCTTTATTCACTTAATATAACCACCTAGGTGGCTGGTTTTTCCTTGCAAAGACTGGATCCGTTATGCAGGTCCCTTAATTTCCCTTCCATCACGTGCAATGCTTATTTGTTTTTTCAATTTCAAGTATGATACAAAGAAGACTCACAGTATCCGAACAGCTGCACTTCACAACGGTTTCTCTGCACACATACGGACGTTACTTCTCCATAATGACCTTCAGATGAGAAGTGACTGGGTCAAGGAAAAACTCCCACCTCCACCAGGTAAAAAGAAATGCAAGGGAGGTCTGAATTTGATGTCCTGCCCCAGCCTGTGGCCTAGCAAAAGGTGACAGGTTTAATGCTTGAAAAATACAGCACTTCCCTCTCTATCTGACACACTGATCTTAAAAATCCATTTAGTCCAGGTCTTTGTCTACTGCTGTGGAGCCTGGGGTACAATCTGTAGGTGCACGACATGGATAACCCGTATAAAATTTTCTAAAAATTCCTTGCTGAGGCTAAGTTAACCTGCTTTCATACGCTCGGGGGCATTAAAAGATCATGTTATGTTGAACTGCAAGATGTGCATGAAATGTGTAATGGTGTTGTGTGGTCAGCTTTACTTACACTGTTCGGGAATCTTCATCCATCCATGACTGATAGACCTGTATGATAAGGAAGAGAATTAGATACAATAGACACAGACATAATGGACTGAAGACTATACTCAAAGTGTTTTAGCAACGTGAATTTCTTAATAAGATTTTTCTTTCTGCTTTATAATTCCTTGATTCTCTAGGTGCTCCAGAGACCTCTGTCACTAACTTGTCCTGTGTTACTCGCATCACCATTTCTAGTTCTGTTTCTCTCCATTGCACTTGGCTTCCTGGCCGAGGGGCACCAGAGGATACAGAGTACTTTCTATTTTACAGGTTAGTATTTTCTGCCATTTTAATCAGCAGTGAGTTTTGTTAAGAGCATCATGCCTCACAAGTATTTTAATTTAGGTATGAGACATACACAGAAGAATGTCAAGATTATTTCAAAGACAAGTGGAACAGGAATACTGAGTGCAGATTTTCAGTGACTCATATTGATCCTGAAGAGATTGACAAACTCATTGTAATACACATTAATGGGTCTAGCAAGTATGCTGCAATTAAACCTTTTCAGCAGTTATTTAACCAAAATGCCATTGGTGAGTAGAAATAAATAATAGTTTTTAAAAAAAGTGTCTATCGGGATTTTCAAAAGATTTGTGAGTGAATATTACTGAATTGAATGGTTCTTGATGCAGGTGAAAGTATGTACTGGACTTGCATAGACATCTTAATAAAATTGGAAGAGATAATGAGACAGAAATGGATAGTTTTAATTAGCTTTGATTTTAATAATTTATTTTAAATTATAGACTGACAAAAAAAAAATACAATTAGTTATTGTTTGTTAGCCAAAGCATTTTTTCCAATATTAATTTTTAGTTGATTTAGTCAATATACCTTAAAGTACAGTTTCTACTGCCTTTTATTTTACAATCTTTCTTTAAAAGGAAAAAGAGACATAATGGACAAGATAACCAAGTCCTTTTAAAGAAAGGCACTAGTTTGTCAAATAAAAGGTAGTATCAGCCATGACTGTCTATAATTTTTTATCTACCCAAATAATTTCTTTTCCTTCATTAATTCCACTCCTTTCACTTTTTTGTAAACAGCTAACATTTCCCTTTTTCATGGCTTCACTAAGATAAAACACTTGACATATTTTCTTCTTGAAAATCATCCCCATAATAGCTGCTGATCCATTCCTTTGAATTTGCTCTAGTTTTCAGTAACTTTCCTGGTTACAAATGCTTTTTTTTCCTGAAAAGAAGTTTTTCTAACTCTTGTATCATAAATTTCATGCTTTTGTGAAAATGAATTTAATGAATTCCTGCCCCAGTAATCTAATTTTCCTAAACTTTAAAGTGAATTTTAAAAACTGTTTTGCCTTAACTATTGTTTCCAATATAGTTATTTCTCCTAAATCCTTGTATTTTCTGTCCAAAATATGAAATCAATTCAAGGATTATAGATCCTACTTGGAAACACTGTCAGATTATAAAGTGCTCCAATTGTTATAATTCAAACTTTGCTCTATAAATAACTTACCAGTACAGTTTTCTTTTTGTAGAGAAAGTGAATGTTCCCAGAAATGTCACTGTATTCTTAGAGCAAAATGATCTCCTGGCCACATGGGAGAAGCCAATTTCTCCTTTCGATAAAGAATGTTTTGAATACGAATTTTACCTCTTCAACTTGAAGTCAGGTAACAAGCAGGTAATTGCTTCGCTGATACCCAAGTATTACATAGCGTTCCTGTCTCTGAGCTGACTGCCCTATATAGCTAGCACTTGTCTTTATGCAACCTAGTGAAAAAGTCTGCATATCCATGGATATGTCACAAATTTATACACATTTAAAATAAAACCTGCTATTAGTACCTTCTTGAAAATATGGACTTTTGGTGAAACTTGTGTTCCATTTGTGACTAGGGTCCAGCAAAGCCAAAGTCTCATAAATTTTAATATTTTTTTTCTTTTTCTGGACATTGTTTATATCTGCAACAAACTCCCCCATAGAGGCCTAGGAAAGTGGAAGGACAAAAATTTGAGTCATTCAGTTTTCTGTATCTGGGCAGTAGGAGCATGGACAATTCTGAAAATCCAGCAATCTTAAGGAAGTCTTAAGGAGGTCCAGTGTCTTAAGGAAGAGTGCAACAATGAGACATCTTTCAGGAATTTTCCCTGAAATATTGGTGTATTATGAGAGAAATTACACCTATAAAAAGAGAGATCTTACTTCAAAAGCAAGGCCAGATGGTCACAGTTAATCTAGTAAAGGAGCTTAAAATAATAAAAAGATAAACATAATTAAAGTTTGTTTTCTGAACTGTTTAGTCTTCAGTAATCTATAACAGTACAATATTGTTTTTCTAACAGATACTGAAAATATCCTCAAATGACTTCCAATTACCGATTGATGTTACCAGCAGGTATTCCATACAAATAAGGGCTAATCATCACATATGTTGTACGAGAGGATTTTGGAGTGACTGGAGTGAAATTATTTATGTTGGTAAGAATGATATGCTTCTGTCTTGTAATGAATATTATTCCATTGCTGGAAAGCAAATTCTGCCTAATCATGAGCATGCACAACACCAAGTAATTTTAACACAAGCTAGGAAAATAGGTATGAGAAGAAAAGGAACGGAATTGTTAATGCCCAGGGGATTTAAATCTGTGTTCCACTGAAATTATATAAAAAAAAAAGTGTCTCCCAAACAAACTTTTGGACATGAGGGGATTTTTAGACAGTGTTTTGTTTTTACATGCTTATGTTTTCAGAGACTGCTTTAAACTAGCTTAAGGCTTAAATCCTAGGTAAGGCCTTTTAGTTCCTTAGTTTTTACATGTTTCCCTGGCATGCATTGTGATGTTCATTCTGGAAGTTAATATGAGTCAACATGTCAGCTATTATTTTATTGGAGCTCTCTGCACTCGTACAGGTTGAGGTTAAAAAAAAGACCATAGCTTTAGTATCTTTGGAACATGATAATGTGCCCCACTTTGTTCCGTATTTCCTGCTTGCTGAACATGTTTTTCTGGAAATAACAGTTTACTTATCACGGCACGTTATCAACTGTTTCTTCTTATACATCCTTCTCTGCTCTTATCTTTTGGGTTTCTTCACTTCCTGGTTTTCACTTAAAAAAAAAAAGTCCCATACGCTCTCCTGTTTACTATACACTTCCCTCTCACAGCTATTTGCTAGTGAATGCCAAGCAGCTGGTGTTTTGCCTCCTTACTTTAACACATCCCCTTGACCTTCCCACCTGTCTCCATGGCACTGACTAGCCCTTGGGAAGAAAGGCTCAGCAACCCAACCGCTCACCTGGGGTAGGGCCAGGGAGGGTGGGGGCTGACCAAATATCTCATTAATTAAAAACTGTGCCTGTTTATTAGCCTCATGCAACTCTCTGGAAAATATAAGGCCAACTTTAAGACCAGTAGACCTCTTCTGAGCCCATACCCTGAGAAAAAAAAAAACCAGCCTAGACCGCCCACCTTGTAACAGTAATCCTCCAACTTTGTTAAAAACTGAAACACGATTCTGGATCCTTTTCTTGGGTTGTGCTGATCAAGCCCTGTGAAATGTAGCCACATGCTGCCAAAGCTGGTGCTGTAAAACGGCACCTCGATACCAGCCATCTCTAAAAGGTTGTTTAGAAGCATTTACAGTCAAAGCAAGCTGGGTAAAAATTATTAGTGCAGCCAAGTAGGCTTGGCTACGAGCTGTGGGGCTACAGCTGCCAGGGTTCACAGTTTAAAAGACCCACAGGTCAGGCTGGGGGCTAAGAAGTACCTCACAGCACGTTTGTGCTGTCCTGATTCTGCTTTCCCAGCAAGGCTGAAAGATTTGAGGGTCCCTCTCTGTCCGCTGGAGCAATTTTGGAGCTTTCTCGGCTGAGCAGCATGATGATGACCGAGGAACATGGAAACATCACGCTTACAGATGCCTCTACTCACACGCTGCACATATCAAATATGGAAAATTCATTCTGATGGTAAAAAAAAAGTTAGTCTTCCATAAAATTTTACTTAAATCTCAAAAATATCCAAGGACGGGTCCACTTTTCAGTTTTCTATGAAAAGGGTTTTTAGAGGCTTGTTGCAGTTCATCGACACAATAAAGGTTACTGCGGAAGTCGCTGGGATTCAGTACGTACCAGCCAGTCTGAGTAGCGTTGCTGTTACCTTGCTCGGTGGCTCCCAGGAAGTTCATCTCTTCCCTCCATTTCATGAATTACGCGGAAACCTCTCACTTGGCAGGCGCATGGGCTCGTGCTGGTTCACAGGGGTGCGCAGGGCTGGCCTGGTACCTCCAGCGCGTCTTGGAGAGAAGCCCGAGGAGCACCCCAGGCGGGTCCCCAGAGCCACAGCACGGCCTCTGCAGTTGCTGCTTTTCCCACACCTTGCTCTCAGTTGCAACGAGACTTAGTGTGGCCTGCTCATGACTTTTTGGGACCAACCGATTCAAGATGAAACAGACTGAGGACCCCGCCATTTTTGGTTTAGCCAACGGGCCGCTTCACAGCCTTCACACTGGGAGGCTTAAAATTGGTTTATGGGACAAAATAAACCCTCCTAACCCATTTGTAATTGCAAGGTTGACTGCATGCCCCCGTCGGGGTGGTACGAAGGCACATGACGGATCACACAGGCCTACTCCTGCCATCATCCGCGCGCTGCTCTCGGGCACTGCCATGCAACCGCAGCTGTCAGTGGAGACAGGAGGCTCAGCTCCTCGTTTCTCAGAAACAAATCCAGCCAGAATTGGATATTGTTTTGTTTGCAGCACCCATAAACCCCACACTCCCGCCACTGGCCGATTTATGTCCTTTCAATTACCTGGTAATGGCAGCGCTGACACCTTGAGTAGGACAGGTTGTTATCATAAGCGCACACGGACTCGGTGGCCTTTTGTAAACACAGTTCAATGTAAATGTCTTTGTTATATGGCATAATGCGGCACAAAATAATGGTCGTGGTCACTGCGCAGTGCTTTTTCAAAACACAGGCATGGACCTTGACAGAAATACCTGTTGTCTGCTCACAGGCAGAGGCGGCAGAGAAATTCTTCCTGAAGAAACGTATCAGCGGCCAGCTCACAAGTAAAACAGGGAGTGTTGATGTCTATTTTACAGGCTAGTTTATGAAGCCGGAGCAATCCAGTTCTGGCTAGAAAGGATTAACAGAAATGAAGAACTGTTTAATGGAAAGCAAACTGTTTGTGCCTGAGATTATCAGCAAAGTGTCTTTGCTGAGTACCAGTCATGTGCTGGCCACGTGGCATTGCGTGTCTCGGGATGGCAGCTAACGGATCCTATCGTCCTTCTGGTGGGCCTGGCTCCTCAAGCTTCTCAGCTTCTTCTCTCCTTCCCAACAAGATGAAAGAAATTTATTGTAGAAATTAGAAAGCCAGTTTCCTGGAAATTGTTCTTGAACATTATGTTTTGTTTCTAATTCTACATACAAAGTCTTCATTGTTTGCGTGCTAATTTGTGATCTGAATATAATCACATAAAACAGCCAATGACATATTTTGCGAGAGCGTGTTTAAAATAATCTGCACTAAAGTAATATATTTAATTTCTTTTTTTCTTGAAATCCAGGGCAAAACAAACTGGAGAATTCCGTAGCCTGGATTCTTGCTGTACTTTGTGCGTCCACTTTGCTTGTTGCTATAATATGCAAAATGTAAGTATCGTTGTCTTGCTTTTAATTACAGTATGACCAAAGACTACGTGTTCAGCAAGTGTTGAAGGGAGGATGTTACAAGCTTTGCTTAATTTTAAGAAAGGGCAGAGTTTGGTATTCAAGCATAATTATACAAAGCATGAGTACTAAATAAGTAATAATCAGCCTCATTAATTACCAATAATAACATTCAGCAAAATTGGTGGGTAAAAGGATTATTCAATTTAATCTTACACTACAAAACCATATACGGAGTGAGGCAAATTTGTTAATCTCTTTGTCCTTATCTTGTTTCTTCACTTAAATGAGTCTAGTGGGTCAGTGATTTCCACAGGAGGGCTCTGCCTTTAACCCTGGTGAAAGCTGCTGAGAGCATCTTTCACATCTCAGAAGTGCAGGCTAGTATTTTCTTAGCCTTGCTTACTTCAGCCTGCAGACATTCGTGCTGTACTGGGCCCTGGGCATGTACTCAATTTCAGTTGACATCAAAGAGTGTGTTAAATGCTCTGAAGAGGTAAAAATTCAGTGCCTTTGTGCCTGCTGCTCCTCTTGACCTCTTAATAGGAACAAGTGCATTGAACTTTTGTTTGCTTGGAGTTGTTGAACTATTTGTTTAGTTTATATTTAATTACTGTGGATGCCATGTAGTAAAAACAGATGCAGTATAGCCAAATTTCCTGAAGTGTGCAGTGGAGAAACCCAGATACACTTTGGATTTTGGTAGATATGACTAGTCAAGTCATATGTGAAGAATTAAATAATCAGTGTAATTACAAGCTTCTCCCCTGAAACGTGCAACAAGCAGCAATTATCATTCCACAATAAACACGGCTCCCAGTAATGTAAATGCTGTTCTCAACTCTGCTACTTTCTTACTAATTTCTTTAATGCCTTTTAATTTATTGGTCATCCTTATGTATCCTTGGCTATTTTCCTTTCCATACCACATTTCCTTTATCAAATAACGGGCTTGTCTACAGGAATGTTATATTAGAATAACTGTTATTAACTCTCCCTGAAGTGTCTGGTGTCTATGATAACCTGTTCTTAAGTCAATTGAATTAACAGAGCAGGTTGCAATAAGCAATCCTTTTTGGAACAAGATAGATTAACTCCACAGACAGTTTATTCACATTGTGCTTCATATGCACTTGTTCCCAGCTATGCAGCCTTGACGTATTGGTGGAAATCCCTAAACTGCTCTCACTCACATCACTGATTCTTTTATGGATTGACCTGTGCATATAGCCGTATCTCCTCCACTGCTCCAGCCTCATCTTCATCAGCTCTCTCTCTTTGGGACAGCAAAACACCACCACCATTAGTTCCAACACTGATTTGTAGCAGTCATACCGCTCCATGTTTTCCTGTGGAGTTCTGCAAGTATTTGGATATTACACAGTTATCCCCTGCGGAGGTCCTGAAACAGATAAAGGGGGAGAAGTAGGTATAAGGGAAGACTTCTGCTCAAGGATCAGCTTGAGGATGCAGTACTGATGCATTTTATGAACTTTAATGCATTAGACAAATTTAAGCTAACTTTTCCAGGTTCACCTGCTTGATGCTACGTTGATTGTTTCTAGGACTTTCTCTCTGCCTGGCTGGTACATAATTCCCTAGCACCCAAAGGCTCATTACATTCCATCTTTGCCAAAGTGATTAAAATTTTATCTGCCTGCTGCACTGAATTTCATGAAGTTGCTAGCTTTACTCCACCCTTCCCAAGCTGCTTCGTGCTCAGTGTCCTTGCCACTTCTCTAATCCTCCAGCCTGCCCTGGGAGGAGGTGGGAAGCGTAAGAAGATGAAATGCAGTGCTCAGTCTGCTCATTTGTTGTATCTGCAGATATCAAAAAAGAAAAATAGAACAGGTTCCCTAGATCACAGTTTCATTAATACTCTCAGTTTTTACTGCTCTTGAAAATTCATGAAGTGTACTATGCAATTCAAGCCACAGAATCATTTCAAATTCCTTACAATTTGAAGACATTATAAGGAATTTCATTATAGCAAAGAGTTCTATAAATTTTTTTATGTACTTCCTGGCAATTGCAGGCATCAGAGATACAGACCACCATTTGGAAGAAATGCTTCAAGGCAAAGTAGCCCTTTGGGACTGTTCGGATAGTCTTTTCCCTTCACTCACTTGCTGTAGCTGATGGGGTTACTGCCTTGATAAAAAACACACTTGAATGTTTTCCTAGTTTGCCCTCTGTCCTTATGAATGAGCATCGTCTGTACTTTCTTAGGCTGTGCCTTGGAGGTGAGCCCACAGGGGGGTGTAGTTAATAACTGGCTCCCAGCCGCTCGCCACTCAGCTGACATGAGGACAGTCAGCAGCCCTCCATATCCTGAAATCAATGTGGTCATCCTGGCCTCCAGCAGGTACCCCTCCCTCTTCTGCACCCCATTCCAATCCACGGCCAGCCATCAACAGCCACAGGGAGGTCATTTGGAAAATGTCAGGGGGAATCTCGGGAGAGGCAAGACGCTGGAAAAGGTACTCTGACATACTGTGAAAACAAATACTTTATCAGTCTCATCATAGCGGTTACAAGAGGGAAAAGAAGAAGTTGTTCTCTTACTTATTTCTCTTTATTTATCTTTGGCCTTTTCATGTCACAGCCTGTGGGAAAAGTGGCATATTTCAGAAAGACAGGCACAGCACAATAGCTAGAGGCTCTGAAACACCGAGCTGAGGCATGAGGGTCCCGTGGGGTGTTTCCAAAGCCTGAAGGTCCCAGCAGCACTAATGGAAAGGGCCATGTTCTAACCTAAGTACAGACAAGCAGAGATAACTGGAACACTTTTTGTGACAAGATATTTAATCACATACCTCCAACTTTTCAGTGCCCTGCAAAAAGGAACAGGACCGTTCTGAGGGCACCAGTGTCGCCACCCCCACCAACGCCTCACTGCAGGCTCTTGCACCTGAGGGGCAAACAGCCCCATGAACACAAGTGTGCTTCTGCCTCATTCTGTTGGGCATTTGTGCACCCCTCCTTAAGTGTTTCCGTTCCAGAAGCGACATGTAACTTATGCTTTTTGCTGACTCAATAAATAATTTTGATATGGCTCCATCAAAATCTTTTCTTGACAAACAGCCCAACTAGAAATGCGCCAATTCCAAACAAACCCAAATCTTGTTGGTTACACTGCACAGCAATAGCACAAACCAAAACCACGCTCAGAGCTGCAATAAGATAGAGGTGAAATCATGTCACAAAGACCTAACCCTTAGCAGGAAAGCTGGGAAGAGTAGAGATGATGCCAGGTGCTGGAGTGATAATGCTGGCACTCATCCTGGTCCCACTCCTGAGTTACACCACTGCCACGTTACTGACCACACAGCTTGACTTGTCCTCTGCAGCCAGCCACCTCCCTGATGAGGAGTAATAATAGATTAAAAGAAAACTTGATAGAACTCAGATTTTGGAAGAGAGTAGCCATAAGGAGATAAGCGTTCAGCTAACCAGACATCAACCAGGAACACTGCCACAAAATAACCGGGGCAGAGGAGCAGGTCTGCCCTTGGTCCCAGCACCGAGGGTACAGGAGAGGTGCAGCTAGGGCTCCAGCTCGGCCACTTCTCTGCTTCATGGATATCAGCCTACACAGAACAGGTGGCCCATACTAATTCTGGGCTAAGTTCTATAATCTACACTCAGGCCAAGTTCCCATTAAAATCTGGCCCTATTTGGAGATCATGCTATCCAGGGGTAGAGATAGTGAGTGCATTTGAGCAACAGATAGATGATGTCTGTACTCTGGGATATATCAGAGACAAGAAAAAGTTCACTTGCAGCACTTGCTATCACAAAAACACATGTGCCTGTGTGCTTGGGCCAGACTCAAGAGTGTCAGACAAGAAAAGAGTATCTCAAAGGCTGTTAGCAGGATGAGTTATTGCACTGCTAAGCAGAACCGTTTGCTGTCAGCCATCTCTGGTCCCGTTCCTTGTCTCCTCCTTGTTCCCTCGGCACACAATTATTTGCAGTTGCTTTCGCACCACGAAACACGGGCAGATTATGTCCAGAAACCGAAGTCTGAGCAAGAGGCAGCCTGTCTTGCATGTCCAAACAAAGCAGATGACAACACAGCCCTTGGGAGGAACATGAGTGCGAACAGACAGATCAGAGCAATTAATTTCTCTCAAAGACAGGCCTATTGCTGGCTGTTAAAGCTGTGGCAGTGCCCCCTTGGACTGGACCTCGCGTCCCAGCTCTCTGCTGTGGCTGCGATGGAAGAGGCTGATGAGGGAGAGTGTCAGCTCACCGCCTCTTTGCCATCCGCATGTCCCCAGGGTCCAGCAGTGTCCTGGTAGGAATGGCACACCTGCCCAGTCCTCAGGCTGTCCGTGGGTGGACCATTATCCTTTACTTTGACCCCTTTTGAACCTGCTACAGCTGTCAGAGGCCGATGACTGAGTGGGGCAGGAGGGCTGGCAGTGCAAGGAGACGTGCCTTCTCGTGGGGCTGAACACATGCTGCTTGTTGGATATGCCATCCATCAGAGGAAGCAATTTTTTCACATCCTTTCACTACTGTTTTTTGCAGAAACCACGTATGGAGTAAACTGTTTCCACCAATTCCAACACCCAGCAACAAATTCAGAGATCCCTTCCCAAATGACTACGAGGTAAAATAACATTTTAGTCACTCTGTATTTTTTTGACTAGAAGGAATGCTTGTGTTTGTGTGCTGCCCTTTCCTGGTAAGGCTGGCAGCATATAGCTTGTTATTGCTCGATTAAAGCCTTTTGACCACTTTGACCAGTTCTAACATCCATTTAAAATGTGGGCTACATTGTGAAATATGTTGTGCAGAACATGCCAAGTGGGAAATTCGTGGGTGCAGTTAACGTAACGATACGCACAGCCCTGACGAGGACTATAACATCAAGCTAGCCATTGAATTTAGCCATCTGTGGAGCTGTTCCTGCAATCGTGGCTCTCACCTGACTGTGTCTCCACCTCCTCTGCGAGGACAGGTCCCAGCCTGGAGTAGCTCTGGATATGGCCTTGCTTGTAGATGAACTGTTTTGGAGAGTGGTTTAAAAACAAACAAAAGGATTAAGTGCTATTGCCAAGTGCTTTTCTAATATGCAACAAATTTGGGGCACAGGGTATCGTACCTACGGCTCTGCCTTTTGTACAGAAACGCAGTGCAGTTGCTCCTTCCACCCAGCACAACCAGGCAGATAGTTCTGCCTTGACTGGGACTGGAGGTGACTCCTGCAGAGCTGATTTATTTGGTGGAACCTCACAATGGGAAATGTTTTGGTCCTAATGTTAAGCTGGCCTTAAGCCTTATTATGTTTGCTTTTACTTCCTGATAAATACATTTGCCTCAGAGATAAGATAAAATTCCTTGTTGTCTGTTCAAGGGAAGTGCTGCTTAGTAACTTGATTTTAATTTGTCCCCTTTTCTAAGGGGTTTGATTTTTTGGCTATTGTTCTTATTCCGTGATCTGGTCAAGGAAACAGGCTTAAAAGATTATCATATAATGTTTGTTTTTAATTAAAGTCACTGGTGTAAAATAACAGGACTTAGGATATCACAAATAGGAATATAAGAAATAGCAAATACTAACACTGCAGATAAAACCTGTGAGCTTACAAAGGCTGTTTCACGTTCCCAAAAGCAGGACTGCCTTGTGCTTAGTCGTTTAAATAAAGTGAGCTCGGTGTGGGTAGGCAGCACCGGCTGGAGGCTTGCTGCTGGCACTGCGGCGCAAGGGAGGTGGCACTGGTGAGGACACGGCACTGGTGAGGAGACAGCCCCAGTGTCTCTGCTGAGATCACCTGGGAGAGTGAAACCCCCAGCAGCTGTTTGTTGTGGGCATTCAGTTCCTAAATTCGTGGTGTAAACAGCGGGGCGAGGTGATGAAAGCCCCGTGCAGCGTGGGAACCATGCTGTGCCCTGAGGAGCAGCTCTGCCTCCTGCCACCCCTGCGGGCTGCCTTCTGCGAGCCAACCCTGTTCTGCTCTGTACCGAGGGGTCAGGATCCGGCCTCACAAGCAGGCTTTGCTGCTGGTTATCCAGAAAAATTCACATGCCTCGTAACATACCCTCCAGCTCCTCCCAGGGCTCTCTGTCCTTGGCTACAGAGGGCTGTGTGGTGGGCGGCTGTGGTCAACTCTTTTCCATTTCCACAAAGGGAATTTGTGGGTGCAGTGGGCTGCTGGCCCGATCGATGAGCAGCCCCCTGAGAAATTCATTGGGAATGAAATTTCTGGTGAAACTCTTCTGTTGAACCCCATGCTCCTTCTTACCTCACTAAACGTTTTGGGTGAATCCCTCTTTAAACGCTCCAACTTGAAATGCAGCGGTTTGCAAAATGTTAAACGAGGGCTTTGCAGCATTTGTTTCATAACAAGTATTCAACACAGGCTTCACGTGGTACGTTGTGACTTCCTGAGCTTTAGTTGACAACCCCAGTTTACTGCTAGCTCACCAGTGAAATGCGATGTTTGCTTTCCAGAGAGCACGCACCTGCACCAGTGAGACGGAGACCGAGTTCGGCAGCTTCGCTGAAGATTTTTACTGCAGTGCCCTCGACGACTCTGTCTTCTGAGAGGCTGTGGGGCTGGTGAGGCCTCGGCACATCACCCAGAATCACTGGAGCGGGCTTTGTGTCACCTCCGCAGCGATGGCGTTTCCAGCAGGGGAGGAGGAACTTGCTTCCACGAGGTGCCTTGTGTAATCATAAACAAAAAGGCCCAGTTTAAGCAGGATGTAAGTACACGGTACAAGGGCTGTGTATGAAAAAAACATGCTGGGAAAGAGCTAATGTCTTTTTTTTTTTTCTGGTTGGCAGCTTAATCTTTTGGATTTTTGTTTTGTTTTAAATACCGCTGACAATCCAAGATCCAAAATGCAACCTGGGACTTGGCACAGCCCTGTGTGTAGCAGCAAAGTACACAGCTGTGGTCCCTGGCAGTGACCAGGGTGGGTCAGGTACTAGGAAAGGAGTAAACCAGGCTGTACAGCACCCCAGGGCTGTCATCCCAGGTGCTGCATGGCTACAGCACGTCCCTCGTGAGAGTGGGGACGCACACTTTGCGATGGAATAGTGTGAGCTCAGCAAATAACCCGAATAACCTCCCTGGAAATGCAGTTCACTGATGAAGGGAGTGACTGGCTGTGCTGTGGTGAGCTGTGAGCCATGCAGCCGGACCGCTTCTGTGTGGGGACTGAACAGTGCACTGGCCAGGCTGTGCCCAACGTGGCAGCATCCCTCTTGTACTGCAAAACGGTACTTACTTGCTTTTTAACTAAACATAGTCCCAACTTTGGGTGTTGGGAAAGGGCTGTCTCACTTGTAGGACTTCATAAACCCCAAAAGCCTCTGGATTTTGTAGGCTGTTTAAATAAGAGAAGGTTAGTTTGCTTATGCAGCTGCTGTACAATTAGGGTCTTGTTATTTTTGTTCACACAGCTAGCACTTTGCCTTGTTACTTTTGTACACACAGGTATCTTACCGCCTTGCTATTTGCATGCCTGCAGCTGGCACCTTGCTGCCACGGGCACAACTCCCCAAATCTCAGAGTTTGTGGCAGGTTTGGCAGGTGGCCAGGGGTGTGTGCACTGCAGGCCTGCAAGGAGCACCGTTTAAACAGTAAATTCAGAGCTTGTGAATGGAAAAAAACATCTGGGGAAGCAGCTATGAAACACTGCAAAAAACTGGCAGGAGTGTCCTGCTCACAAGCCACTGGCAACTAAGAGCCCTCAGCAACCCCCGCAGAGCACCGACCCCCTCCAAGCCCCTCTGCCCGCTACTGGGGGCTGCTCCAGTCTGGACCCTGCTGTGCCAGGCACATGGTGAGACCCAGGGCAGAGAACAGTCCTACTCTCAGATTTTTCCCGTGAACTTCCAGGATATTGGTAAAAATGGCTAAGCTTACGTAGCTTCATGGCCATGTAGACAAAAGATTGACCATAGCCTGATGCCTGCTTGCACGCTTCACCTTGGGTGTCCTGACTGTCCAGCACGCAGAGGAGTCCTTGCTGCTTATGCCACTCCTGGCTTGGGGGAGTTCATTTTTCCTTCTGGTTATTTTCTTCCTTCTTGTAAGAGTCGCACTGTTTGCAGAAGGAATAGGCATTTTTAATATCTTGGTTTCCCCGGGGCTTAAATGCCCCCAGCCTTTGGCTGCATGAAGGCGGCAGAGCTGCGATGGCTGACGCCTGCGTGGGGATCACAGTGCCCAGCCGAGATGGCTGTTCGGGTGCTGCGAGACCCCATTTGCAGTCGAAAGCGAGGGCTTTGCCTGTGTTTTTTTACAATCCCTTCTCCTGAACGAGGGAATGAAAGAGCGCCTGGCTGCCCACCTGGGGTCTCGCTGGAGGCCGTGGCAGGGGGAGGCACAGGAGATTTGCTGTTGGCTCATTTCGGTCCAAAGCTCCTTTGCAGGCTCTTGCCTTTGACATCAGCTGGCAGCATCTGCAAAAGAGCAAGAAGGGGATTGTTTGTGCTTCCTGGCACAAGAGAGTAAAGCATAAGGGGGGTGGGGGGAAAAATGGCACAAAACTGATAAACTTCCTCACTTGCACCTAAAAAACAACACACAGCCTGGAATGCAGCATTTTCAACTGTACTGTAATTATAGAAATGTGCCAAGGACCTCTTGGTGCTCTTAAGCATCTTTCTGAGCCGCAAGGAGCTGGGCTCTTCCTTCAGGGGCAGCTTCAGCTGCCTCCAGGTAATTTTGAAGATGCAATCCCAATATTGCAACCTGTTTTTTTTCCGCTGTCTTAAACAAACTGGGTTTGAGACAGCGTCGTTTTGGTTTGTGATTTGTTGACTTGCGTTGTGTAATCTGCATTACCAAATAAACCTCCTGCCTGAAACCACTAGAACGTCTCGGGCTTTGACCTCTCTGCCTGTGGACCACGATGTCCTCCTGTTCTTGCAGAGTCCCGTCTACTTCCAGGAAACGGTCTGTCCGGCCAGAGGTGGGGTTAAGTGCATTAGCAAAGAATAAAAAGAAAAGATTTGACCCAGCAAGTAAATTGTTTGGAAATTGTCTCATATAATGGAGTTCCCACATGCTACAGACTAAAAATAATTGTAACAAATGAGCCAGTTCTGATCTGGGTGAAATAGCATGGCTCCATCAAAATTAATGTAGCTCATTAATATAACAGTGTTTGTGCCGCAAATGTCTCTCCTTCATGTGATTTTAATGGATTTGAGGTGCCCAGCTTTAACAGTCCAAAATCAGAGTTTCATTAGTAAAATCCTAAAATTAAGACTGAGAATTCATTTACTGGAATGTCTTTTATGTCATGCCTTCAAGTGGCCTAATAAATAAGATTTCTAAATATAATTTCATCCCCATTAATAGCAGGATATTGCAGAGAACAGTGTGTATTTTGCATTTGAGCTGTGCATTCGGCCATGTGAAAGCACGTGCGTGAGCGCTCAGCTCCGACTGTCGAAGGCAGGGGCAGCCGAGGCGTTCCCGGGGCATGGGGTGGGGGGAACATAATGCATTTGCTTTCCTGCATCACGGGTAAGGATGTGCGTCACAGGAAAACAACGCCAACAGCAGCAACGAGCTGGTGGCGATGAGAAAACCCGTTTGGATGTTCATCTCATCAGCAAGGGCACATCAGGTCCTCGGTGCTTCCATGGGGGATGTGTTCCCTTGGTGACAGCCAGGGCTGGATGGATGAGAAAGCTGTCACAGATGTTGCACACGCTAGTAAATAAAGCTGACCTGGTGTAAAGTATGAGGAGGGTCTTCACTTGCCCAGCCGGGCCCTGGGTCCAGCCCCTCCTGGCAGCCCAGGAGCGTGGTGGGGGAACCTCACCTGTACTCCAGAGCCACCCGTGTGGGACAGGGAAAGCAATTCCTGTCCGAGTCGCTTCCTCACACTTGGAGCAAACAGGATTCATTTCGGGCAGCAAGAGAGAAAAGGGAGCACGTTCAGTACCTCCCAGGCAATTTGCTGTCATTGGCACGTGTCACTCGTCAGCTCCAGGGCCGGGAGATGCCACGCTCAGGGCTGCATGTCACGTTTTGCCGCCTTACGCCAGCCCGTGCCGCCGGTGAAGCCGTTCCCACACTCCTACATCAGAGCTACGCATTTTGTGCCCAGAGCGCGCAGGAAGATCTATTCCGAGGGTTTCTTTCTTTAAGCCCAGCATGTTCCTCCGCGCAGGCAGCGGCAGGAGCACACCCCTCACCCCCTCTGGAGATGGCAATTTTAAATTTCCTGTTTAATAACAGATTTATGTTATTGGACCATTCTATTTTTAAGCTTCATCAACTGCGAAGCTCAGGATGGCTCCTCTGAAACGCGGAGCAACCAGAAGTGGCACAATCCTACGACTCCTGTGCTGCCACCCCTGAAAATCAGATTAGGAAAAGCGTGTTTGGTGGATTTCGCGATTTCAAACAGTGACCCCAAACCCCCTCAGAAATCCACGAGGATAACCAGAGAAGCAGTGCCGTACCTGGAGGCGGCTTGCGATGCTCCGCTCTTCGTCTGCCCGCTGGCCGGCAGCTCGTGCGTGGAGCTGCTGCCGCCTACCCCGCTCCCGGTCGGCTGCGGTGGCCACGGTCAGTCACCAGGACAGTTGAGTGCCAGTTTGGTCTTTTCCTTTGGTTTTCCCCTTTCTTTTTCACTCGGGGCTTCCCAGGCTGCAGAGGCTCCACTCCAACGGCACCAGCCCACATGAGCTTGGAAAGGTCACAACTCTACATAAACAGACGTTGCCACCCCAAATTCACCCACGCAGATATTTCTATTTTTGCCAGATTTGGTAGCAGTATAAGACCAGAGACATATCAATGGATTTTTTTTTTTTTCTGCCCCTACAAAGTTTCGACTTAATTCGACCTTTCTATTTTGTATCTTCGCATCAGTGACAATCTCAGCAGGCGCTGCCTAACGCCACGGGGAAATTTGTCACTAGGTAAAAGGAAACCGTGGAGGAAGAACGCCCCTGGAAGACAGGTATCTTTACAAATGACAGAATATTTATTACCAATACCTTTAAAAAAAGATTACATCTGCTAGATCACTGATAAATATCATTTACACTGGGGAGAAAACTACAGAAGCTTTTTTTTTTTCCATTTTTCTTAAGGGTTTTTTTGTGGATTTTTTTTTTGTTTGTTTTGGCTTTTTTTTTTTTTTTACATAGAAGTAACCATATCAAACTAAGAAAGGAACACAGCTTGAAATACTGACAATATTTCTCTGGTCAACACCCCTGACTTTTACACAAGTGGAATCCTGATTATGAGTTACTGAATAAATATATTTAGAAGGTCTAAAAGTTAGCTGTATTATTTTGTAAGCAAAAAAGACAAGTTACAGGCAAATTCAAGCTATCAGGAAAAAAAAAAATAAATAAACCACTGCAGCGCATTTAAACTTGAAAATTTTATAGAAAATCCCGTTGCCTTTTACTAGCGTTTTCCCATCTGAGTGAACTTACAAAATTACCCCGTAGTAACAAACAGTCCTCCTCTGAAGAAGAATGGTTTCGCTGTGGATACTCCCATTTCCCGGCGTGACTCTGTCTTGCCTTCAGGCACCGATGAGGAGTTTCTCCAGAGG